AACTTTTGTGGGCCTTATCTGATAGCCACATACAGGAAGTAAGTATTTCCAGCTCCAAGTGCTGAAGTACAAGGGAGAGTAGTGCAAACTTTCTAGTCTTTTGTGCAATCTTGGCAGTTGTCTTCCCTGGACAAGCTCTAGAAGAAAGTGGTGGCAATTGCAATACCTTGTGAAGAGCTTAATGCAGAATGCTGAAATAATCAGGGATTCTAGTTAATGGGTTTCTATCAGGCCTTGCCAAAACAGGTGCTTCAGGACATGTACAAACACCTTCAGAGCTATCAGATTAGTATTTTTACATTTCTTCTGTATATTATTGTTTCTACATGGGTGTCAGTTAACACCTGTCTCACAACACACTTAAATGGGAATGTTGAAATCATTACAGGATTTCTGGCTTCCATTTAGTCTTGAATCTGGTAAGCAAGGCATCATGTTTTCCTAGGAGTATGGTAAACAAAAGATTACACCCTTCAGTTGTACTCAGAGGACTAAACATTCTTTCCATTGCAGGTGTTCCCTTAACTTGCAATAATGCTCTATTTAACAAAACTAAAACAAAAAAAACTAACAGCTTGGATACTAGATAACTGTTTTGTAGAGTAATCCCAGTTTTCTTTTTGATGGGTAACATGGTTGAGTGACCATATTGCCTGGATTCTAAGACAGTGAAGGTTCTTCATGCCAAAGTAGATAAGCAGTAGTATCTGATGAAACAGACAGTTTTAACTTTTCATAGCAGACCTTTTATGCAGTGGAATTGACTTATTCCTAGTTCATAACTGTTCTTCTTAGTGTCATTTTCAACAGCTGGAGTAGCTTACATTTTCTCAGCCATAGAAGGCTATGAAGTTCTCTTACATAATTCCTTGGCCAGTTACTCCAATTCAGTGGAGGCAGCTGTTGGAGCTCATGTTTTGGTGTTTTCTAATTGCTACAACACAAGCTCTAATGCTCAATAAAACAATTGTCAGAGTGCTCTAAACCCAGAACTTGCATGCACCATCTTTATCTTGCATTTGTTTATCTTGCATTTGTGTCTCATCTTCATTAAAACAGCCAAGAAGAATGTTTATTAGATTTAAATTGTGTGCTGTTTTTTGATTGTTTACATTCAAGTGACAAAGGAAAGACAGTTCTTTGAGTACTTGGATCTTTCCTTGAGTTGATAAGGACTTTGTGCTAAGTAAATCTTTCATGTCATTCATGTGTTCTGCACAACCTGCACCATTTGGTCGGCCTGTGGTTAGAATGCCTCTTGCTTTCAAACTCTTTCAAACTTTCAGAAATACACAGATCAGTTAGTAAATACAGCATGCTTGCACTGGACGTCTCCAGAACATACTGTGGCAATTATCAGAGAAAGTAGTTTTGTTATTGGAAGAAAAACATACTGTGTGAGAAGACCAGCTGTGAGAGATGAACTGTGGCTTAGAAGCTGAATCACAAAGAATGTGTTCTTTATTGCAGATGTATTGGACCTTGATCAAGTAATAGCTCCTTGTGAGATCAGAAATAATAACCTATAGAAGCATTATCAGGAGCCTTGTGCTGCTGCATTCATTGCTGTTTGAAAATGTCCTAAAACAGTTGTTTCATTTTTTGTCCTGAATTCATTTTTTTAAACATACATGCATTAAAGTTGTCTTATCAAAGTACAAGAGCTTTCTATGCATGTGGAAAAACCTGTCAAATGATTAGAAGTTACATGTAGGTTTGTAATCTGTTACAGACATCTGACCTTTTATTTCTGTTCAAATACGTAAGGGAACTTTCATCTACCACTGAAACACAGCTCTGTAGCTGAAAAACATCACTAAAGACAAAGGCATTTCATATCCAGCTAAATTACAGAAAACATTGTCATGCAAAACAAAATTATCAGTGCTGGGACCTAACTAGAGAAGGTGATTTTTCCAAGAAGTCATAAATGGCTTTGTGCAGCAACCTGACCAGCATGCTGCCTCTTTTTCATTGTACAGCCTGTGGCCACGGTTTTATCTTTTGCTGATGGATCTTAAAATTTCACAGATGTGGGATGCGTCTACTGGGTCCTGGTGCTTTTCCACAAAGAAATGTGCATGCCTTGAGGACAGAATGTCAGGTATGTAAGACTGAAGTATTGTGAGTCTGGACGTGTTTCAGGAAGGAACAGCTGTGCCTGGACTAGCAGAGACAAGCAATCATGGGTGCGGAGGGAGCTCATGTTAGGAAGAATGTTTTAGCTGGAAGACAAGCTCAGCAAAAATAACCATCTCAGTGTAAAAGTCCATTGTATTTAAGACAATGCACAGAGAAGTGAATTAGACCATAATAACTCCTTAGCTGGACAACTAAAATCACTTGATGTTTGGCACTGTGTTGCTTACTTGAGTGACCACAGCACTAACGTGCTGCAGCTTGTTTTGCAGCCTGCGCGCAAATAAGAAAGAAAGATCAGTTTAGTTACTTATGTTTTTTTCAAAGGAAGTACACTGTGTATTATTTACTTTTCCTTAAGGGCCAGCTGAGGTTGTTTTTAGAACTGAATTTGAGATTTTGAGCAGGTTTGAAAATCTATCAAGCCCTCATCTTATTAGTGCTCTATTCTTGCTGAGACTGAATTGCATTGTTAACAGCTCTTTCTTTAGAAATCATTATTGTGTATTGTTAACTTTCGTTTCCATTCACATAATAACAGGGTAGTTGAGAAATGATAAGGATGAGGAAATGATAAGAAAACTCTATTTTCTGCTGCTTTGTAGATCTGCTAACTGACCAGGATAAAATGTGATTGGTCATGTTCAAGGCTGAGCCCCTGGGGACAGCGATACCTGTAGGGCACCTAAATCAGCTGAAGAGGAGCACTGTGGATTCTATCATCAGGTAGGATTGCAAATTGAGGTCCATGTATAGGATATACAGTTTAGCAATCCTACAGACTTCTAGTTTTGAATGTTTCAAGTAATAATTGGTATATAACAGACTGCAGCATGGAGCAAAGCTACATTAGATGGCTTTTTGAAGGCATACTGATTCCAGGAGGAATCTTCTGGATGGCAACGAGAAGCTCTGGGCAGGCAGATTGCTCCTGCTGCTGTAGCTGGAGGCTGTAGGTGACTATACTGGGCAGAACCCAGCAATGCTAACAGCATGGTGGAAACCATAGTAGTTAACAAAAAGTGTGAGGGGCAAAAAGTAACAACAAGCTACTGACACAAACACTGGACAAACTCGATTCCTGGTGCACTTAACCTGGCAAGCTCCTTCGTCTCCACTACTGCTGAGTTACTTTGGTCCATGAACTGTTTTCTTCACATACTTTTCTGGGGTGCCCTGGATCTAGTTTTAATTTTTCTGGGGTTTTAGAAGGTTCAAGGTGTTCACTTTTTTAAGAATTTGTAACGCTGAGGGCAGAAAGTTCTGAGATTCCTGTTTGGTTACTTAAACTGAATGTAGTTTTTTTTTTTTCCTGTATGTTGTCACAAATCATGTCAAGACAAGACTTTTTGTTTTAGAAAAAAAGTAAATAAAAGAAAGCTGATGCTTAAACTTACCTTTAGCCATTATACATCTATATGCCAGGTTCAAGCTTGTCAGTCTCAGGTACCACAATAAGAACTAAACTCTGTGTCTCAATGTTTGCACTCAGATTTTTGTGAATTTCCTCATTGAGTCTGAGGGCACAATTTTCTCATCCTGTTTGGTGTGAGCTGTATATATGGGGCTTTTAATGATTAGAATAGTGTAGTGGATGAGCTTTACATTAACAAACTCATTTAAACTACGGTGAGACAGAAGCAGGTATGTGACATCAACTCCATTTGATATAATACCTGTACATGTGAGCACTTCTGTATACCTCAGATCGGTGCCATATTCCAAAATTTTCTGAAGATGAAATGAACCAGCTTCTGCTGGATGGTTCTTGATCTCAGTAGGGAAAACGTAATCAGTGAAAGCAAAGTGATGGTTTTGGGACCTCTGGAACATATTTTAGTTAGCCTTTCTCAATAAGTATTTTGAATGACACACAAAGCTGTTTTACTCTGAACTTAAGAAGTAGCCAGAAATCTAGGGTGCTTGTGCTTGCTCAAAAGTAAGCTGAACTAACTGGTATCTAAGCAACAGTTCACAATGCAACACCTACACTTTGACTAAATTGCTTTTCCCCTAAAAAAAATTGCATTCTGCTCTGTGATGCACAAACTGTGGCCAAGCAAGCTTTTGATAGGTGTTCTGTCTTGCATGCAGGATCTGTTGACAGATAGAAGAATATAAGAATATATTTGGTTTCTTTTTAAACACTGTGTGCTTCTTGCTGATGCTCTGGGACAGGAGGAAGGGTGCCTACACAGAGACACTTGAAGCAAACAGAGAAGGAGTGCTAAGAGGATGCAGTCTTCACCATGCTTCAAAAATACTATTCAAGTTTAGAACTTTTTTTTAAATGTGCTTTTGTTCACCTTACAGAGATACAACTAAGAGCAGTCTTTCACTATTGTTTCATCCCTCTATTTTTCCTAACTTTCTAACTTGTGTGTCTATTTCTGTTACTAAAACAGCTTGCTGCTTACCTTCCCTTGGTCAACAGAAAAAATGAACTTGCAGCAGTTGTGTATACTAAAACATGAGCTAGTACAGTACCATTTCTACACTGCTCAAGATGTTGTTGTTCTGTCTGTCCTCACACAGTACTCTTTGCTGTGTGTATTACTTTCTTGCTCAAATGTAGACATTTGTCGAATCTTAATGTTCTGCCAAGTCTTAATGTTGATACGGTATGAAACAAAAAGCATTTCTTCACCACAGGAAATCTAGCAGGTGATTTTGCATAATTTAGCTGAACTTTTTAATATAAAATCTTGTGATCTTGTGATTTCCAAGTAGGCAGTTCCTGCTGAGCTACTACAATAGTGGGAGGTGATTTCCATGGTAGTTTAAAGATTATATAAGCCTTACTATGGAGAGGATACTGGTAGAAAGAAAGATTACATATATATATGGACTGATGTGCTTAGTACTTAAAAAATAATCTTTATTATAACTTAAATGTGATAGGAAATAAATGTCACAAAACTAAAGGGGAAAAAAAAAGCAGAGGTCAGTACAAAAGAACACCTTGAAAGAATTCAGCTGATGGAACAGGTGTGGTACAAAAACCAGAACTTGGTTATTTCACCTTCTGTATAAAGAGTCTATGTCCCTCAGTAAACAAGTAAGCGTTCTGAACTGTATTTTGAACTGTACAAAATGTACCTTTTTAATTAAGGAAGAATATATATATTTATAAATATACAGATATGTACATTGTTGTAACATTCACGATAAAAAAAAACGACAAAAACCAGAACAACTTCTGCCTGCCAATGTGTTTGGTGCTAAAGGCTTCCTTTTGATGTGAATTGTTTGCAATCTTTTCTATGTAGTCTATGCAAATTTGGATGCTATAATTGACATCTAAATATCATTTCATGCATAATAAACACAGTACAGGAACACTCTTCTGTTAAATTCTGTTCACCTCCTCTGTTATCTTCAGGCTCATAATCAACAGCTTGAAGCACTGTCTTTCATTCTTGCAGTGGGGGAGCAAATGCATTCACTTCACACTGTTTATTACTGCCTCCGAGGTCTGCTTTAGTTTGTTTCAGTTTTTTATTGAAATCATTCTATAGAAGCTATCCTCCACTAATTACAGTGTATGAAATCCAATCCTGCTTGCAACCTGCAGGACAGAATGGCTTTGAGGACTTGTGCAATTAGCTGTATTCATCACTACTTCTTGGAATAAATAAATGCGCTTTACCTTTTCATTTAGTTTTTCAAAACCTACGTGGTTATTTGATTCCCCTCATCAGTCTCTGGATTAATGATGGTTCATTGCTGGAGGGTGAGAGAAAGGAAATAAAAGACCAGTAGAGGCATTCAGAATGAGTCACTATAGTGACACCTCCTTGGGCTTGCATCATGCTGCTTCTGGAGGCAAAACTTGAAGAAACTCACTCTGTATTTCATTACTGAGACAGCACTGTGGTGTTCTGGGCTGCTGGAGTGGTTCTGGGAACACTGCGAGGCAGTAGGCGCTTGGTTCGGTGTTGGAGAGAAAGCTGCTTTGTGGTTCTGCTCGAGTGGCCTCCTACTCATCCATTTCAGATACACATCACGTCTCAAGTTTTCATGACCATTTCAAGGAAGTAAACATAATTAATGCTCAGTAAAATATACAAAGATGCCAGATTCTAAAATCTCACAGAAGTTTGCCGAGGCTGAGTAACTGCAATGCATTATTTATTACAAATCAGTCAAGAAAGTATTGTTCCTCAGCCTCATCTGGCTGTTCCATCATAAGCTGCAGAGGAGCCAATAGGAACTCTTTAGCTGTGTTTAGATTTTGCTTTTCCTTAAAAAGTTGGTGAATTGCTACATTTTGGGACACTCCTTCAAAGTCTTCATTCTACTTCCCATGCTTAATGGCAGCTCCGTCTTTCTTTCATGTCTGTTACACTTAGGCAGGTTCTTTTCCTAAAAAGCTGTGGCAGATTCAGTTCCACGGCGACTTCCAACTCTGACAAATTCCCGAGGGAATTTGTCCAGCTGTTCATAGGCCAATCTCCCATCTTCACCTGAACACAACATGTTAAAGCATCATAGCAACCTATATCATTGCTGTACAACATTTGAACTATTGGATTCTCTGCTATTAGAAGGTTACCAGTAACGTCTTTCCCTCTTAACATTTCTTACATTGTTGAAGGCAACTTCAGAAATTACTTAGAAAGTTAAGCATGCTTGTCCAACTAACTAAAGGATTACTTGGAAAAAAATGTTCAAACTATTTCTTAATTTGCCGTTGCGGGTTGCTGGTTTTATTTAGAGCAAAACAGAAGCAGCTCTGGCTTGTATGGCTAGATGACAGTATCTGTACAACTGTCTTACTTAAATGACCTGCAGTGCTCCATGTCTCAGCTGCAGCTGTAATATGCTTGAAGCAGATGATGATGTTTATCTATTTCTAATTTAGGCGCTTTCACCCACTTCTTGCTTTCTGGCACTTCTAAGAAGTGAGTCTAACCACATCTTGAGTTCACCATTAGCAATCAAAAAAAGGTCTCTGGTACATCATCTAGAAGAATGGTACAATCTCCCAGAGTTTACACAAGTGACATAGGGTTAAACATTTCAGAAGCTGAGTAACAACATTGGCAGCAGAGTGAGTTCCTGCTAAATTGGTAAATGAAGAGTGTGTGTTTGATGAATTTGCATAAGTAAAATTAGAAATGGACATATACCCATGAGCAAAACTTTGTGTCTGCCCTACGGAGTTGAGGACAGGTCAGAAAAATACAGCTTTGTTTTTTTTTTTCAGTACTGAATAGTGCCACTTAAGTACTGGGGTCCTGAAACTGTGCAGCCAGTTTCAGTCACAGTAGTTACTGAGCAGGGTGGCTGTTGTCTCAGGGAAAAATGAAGGTCTCTGCAAGGTGCCTGAGGTTCTGTGTGAAGGGGCCGTTGTAGGTTAGGATCTGTCCAAATAAGCATATAGAGATCATTCAGCTCAAATGAAAGCTTGGTGGTGCTAATGGCACTTGCAAGTGTGATTTGTTTCAGTAAGCTGTTTAGATAGCTAGAAAGTGCAGGGTACAGTGACAGCAGAGGATGCCCAGGAGGACAGGGTGTGATATGTTGCAGAAGGGGAGCTGGTCCTGCCTCCTCAAGGAGGAGAGGTTACATTCCCTAGGAGAAGCAGAACACAAATACTGTTCTTCTACATAACTTTAATAAAAGGTGTTGTACTGAATGCCTACACTTGTTTTTCAAGCATAAAGTCATTATGAAGTAGATCTCTTTTGTCAACTTTTCCTTTTCTATTTTTCCATTTCTGTTCTCACCCCTAGACTCAGACAGTTCAATTTCTCTCTTTTTGGTCCATTTTCATGATTTTCAGAATGAATAATTTCTAAGAACATATACTTCTAACCTGTTTTTGTGTAATTCAAGTGTTTTATATGTATTTCTGTTCAAAAAGAAAACAAAATGCTGCTGTAAAGCAGGCAACTCACCAAGTGAGAGCAGGGTTTCAGAGGCTACTTTTCTAATCTCTTCATTGTCAGACTGGCAGAGCATGACCAGCATTTTAATACTCTCAGTAGCCTGGAAAATAGAAAAAAGAATCATATTAATACTGCCTATTATGGTTTAATTTCAGAACATCATATAGGAGTATTTACCACCCTCTGTGTTTCCTTTCCCATTCGCTATGCACATGGATATACCATCTTGTGTCCTTGGTCTTGTCTTAAAAGTGTTCACAAGCCAAACTGCATGACAACATGCACACCCCTCTGCTCTGTCTCACTTCATGCGGGATGAGAAGGGCTCCTGCTCCACTAGCTTTGGCCAGAAGGTTATGCAGGGAAAGCTGCTGGAGCACCCAGCTCACCTTTCTGCAGCACTCACATGAGAAACCCCGTATCTCAAGCTTCATGCAGGAGAAACTATCACTGCTGTAGGTCTATTGTATGGAATATATATTTTTTGCTGTGTCCAGTATCAGCTCAGTTAGCAAGCAACTGTTTTTCCTTTCTTTAATGTGCAGAAGTGGTACCAGAGGTGAGCTATAATGTAGCATAGCCTAAACTTCCTCTTACAGTCTTTCTGTGCAATGTCACAAACAAGCTATGTATCTCTTCTACTGCTGCAATCTGCATGCATTATAGCTAGTTTTATCCCGGAAAAGGATTATTTTCTTTCTCTCCTTTAAAACAATGCTTTGAAACTGTTTCCAAAAAAGGAATCTGTAATGCAGCAATGCAAAACAAAAGCAGTACTGCTGCTGCTACTGCAATTTCTATTTTATCATTCTCACCTCTCAGGTGTCCTTTCTTTAAAGTACTGCCAAGAACCATGACTAAACTCCTTGTCTCTTACCTTGAGGTATCTCAGAGCCAGGCAGGCTGCTTTCTGCAGCTGGAGGTTGGGCTGGGTTAGCGCTTCACAGTAATAAATCAAGGCCTGGAAAAAGATAAAGAGAAGTAGCCTTGAAAATGTCTGTGGCTGTGTGGAGCAGCAGGCTGGAGAGTGGAGTCTGCCACGAATGGCTGGAAGTCATCCCCTAATTTCTTCTCATTCCTTTTCTCTCATCTCTTTAATTTCTGTGTTTAATCTGGTCCTACTTCCTGCCTTCAGCATCTGTGCTAGACTCACATCTTAGGTGGGAGATCTCAGTTGCCAGCTTCCTTTAGGGAAAAAAAATGCAACCTACATCTTTGCGTGCTGATGAAGCTGGGGATTTGCCTTCAAGCTGGGTTTAAGGTAGGCTGGCACAAAAGCCAAGATGTGGAAGATAGCTGGAGAGTTCAGTACTTCCTAAATATGTGCGCGATCTGGTTTAGCACCTGTTTAGTATAATGACAGGTAGAAGCAGACTAGCATAATGACAGAAATGAACTTACATATTTGCAGAAAAAAATAGGTGGAAAATCCCTCTGGTTCAGTTTAAATCAGGCTCAGAACAATTATTTTATAAATGTAGACATTTGAGACACACAGACAGAAAAAAAACTTTATGATTATACAGGTCCCTTATCCAATAGGTGATTTTCTGCCACTTACTTTCTCCCTGAAGTGCTTGTTTTCTGCAGTAGCTGTCAGGAGCGATGCCACAGACTCACTAACTTCATTTTTATTTTCATTGAGAAGTAAAGCCAAAGCTCTCAAAACTTCTTGCTGTGGTGGAAGGTTGTTGGAGTTTATTTTGGACACGTTTTGATGCAGTTTTCCATCTTTCACAGACTGCAACATCTGAATCACAGAGGCTAGAAGTGCAAGAGGAAGGCTTTTGTTACTTTTTTTTATCCCCTGTGTTTCAGATTTCTCATTTCCCCACCAGCAATCTTCACTATATACAGAGGACAGATGAAAAATCCCCATCTGAATATTGCAGCATTGTGGTGTATCTTCACGGGGAATTGGGCTTTAGATTGGGCTTGTTTCTCAGACATTCTTCTTAAGGAGGTGTATGGAAACTGTTGAGTCACAGCCTAAACCACTGATTGATCACCTGAGGCAAGGACTGAGTCAGCTGTGTGAGCACAGGTGAAGGCAATTCAGCTGTGTGACCAGAAGGGGTGGAGCCTGGCTGCACCTCTCTTAGACCTCATTTAAGGGCTGACTGCCACTGAGGAAGGATCTCTCTCTGGAGATCACTTCTTTGTGTAGTTTTTTTCTGTAAGCCTAGATTTTTTTGGATAAAGGTGAGCATTTCTTTTCCTATTTTCATTGCAATAATCTTTCCAGCTGTAACACCAGCTATAACAGGAGGATATGAGTAGATGGACTAAATGGGATGCTGTTGTGTCACTTAAATTCTCATCATAACAATGGAAAACCAATATCCTAGCTAACGAACTGACTTCCAGTGTAGTTTTGTGGAAGTTTTCCTAGGCAGGTTGATATCCCCCGTCAACAGCCAGGGCTGATGTGTTTCAGAAGTGAGCTGAAATGTCTTTTTCCTTCCAGGCTTTTGATTAAAGCTGTCCAGTTTTCCCAAATAAAAGGGAAGTCTAGACAAGTTTCCTCAAACTGCATCTCAGCTAGCTCACAGCATAGTCTTGGAACTCAATGATCTTTGAGGTCCCTTCAAACATAAGCCTTTCTGTGACTTTGTGAAAACTCGACTTTCCAGGAATTGCAGTCTAGCATGCTTTGTGGAACATCTGCTTCTCTCTTTAAGTCTTGGAGACAGAGCTACCAGTGACCTAGGTGCTGCGATCCCTTGGCTCCTGAGAAGATCTCAGGACTTCATAGAATCACAGAATTCATGAGATGTCTCCATAAAAGAGGATGAAAGACTGGAAAGGTGTGGGCATGGAAAACTAACCAGGCCTTGGGCCTGGCTCAGCACTATCAGCTATTTCCTAAAAAGTAACTTAACAGTTTTTTCTTATTCATTTGTAGAAATAGAAATGATTGAGAGTGAATCTACATCAGCTCCTCCCTGTTGATATGTGCAATTTGGGGTGCAGTCACATTTAGTATCCAAGGCCTTTCTTTGCCTCTCCCCCCTTCTTCTGTAAAATCAGAAGGACATCAATGCAATCCCTGTTAGCTACTATATCTTATATACCCTACCTTCTTTTGCAAGCTGCAGCAAATAGCTTCCAAGGTCATTAACACTGTGGCTGGCAAAATAGTTGTAATACTGAAAGACTGTAATGATCTCTGAAGACATGGTGGAGTAGAGGACGGGCTCTGTCCGGTCCAGAATCTGAGATACCAGGATTCGGAAAACTGCAGGGACAAAAGGATGCGTTAGTAAGAATAGAAGCTCCTAGCATTCCTGCCCAGGTGTGTGGGCAGAAAGTGAGCCTGGGAACGTCCTGGAGAGCAGCAGAATGGAACAGGAAGGAAAACCCCACCCTGGGTGGGCATCTGCAGTCTGAGCAAGCCATCCTGTTCCTGCCCAGGGAGAGCTAGTCAATGGAGCTGGAGTTTGACAAGTGGTATATCCAACCCCAAAAAGAAACCTATATTGAGATAGACACACTTGAAGTTGTACACATTTCATGCCAGTGAACTGTAATGGGACACAGATGTTCTGTAAACACATTATAGTTGGACTAGATGATCTTAGTGGTCTTTTCCAACCTTAATGATTGTATAAAATTGAGGGGATTCCTACTGCACTGTATCACTTTCAAATCTGTATTTGGGAATGCACTTTCTGATTACCTCATGAGTCTTTAAACAATGATTTCTTTTCACTTTTTTCTCCTATTCCAATCTGATTATTTCAGGCCAAAATTGTTCCAAGAATTTGTTGTATTAGTTTTCAAATAACATCTTGGAACCATGCCCAAACAGACCTCCAGGGGTTGGAAAACAAAGCAATGAAAGCTGAGTAAAGCCCAGTGCAAAACTGTTCTCCCTTCTGATGACAAATAACTTTTTTTTTCTTTTGCAGCAGGAGGTACCTGTTTCTGCAAGCCCTGGACATTCCTCATTCACAGTGGTAGCAAAATTGATATCCAGCTGCTTCATCATCTTGTCTGCAGTCGTGTGATAGACTCCTGAAGGACCAGTACACTTCATCCAGAAAGCCAGCAGTGACAGCTTCTTGTGGAACTCTGGGATTGCTGAAGAAGAAAAAATGAACGATGAAACAAAATTGTGCTCAGTGCACTGTCTTCCTAAAGGGAAATGTGATGCATGTGGAGGACGTCCACTCCATCTCGCTGATGGAAGGTAGGTCACCCTGTGTCACTGCCTTCACAGAGGTGGTCACATGCTGACCCCAAGTTTGTGATGTGTTGTTTCTGTTTCCTGAAGGAAGATGTGAGAAAATCTGCTCCTGATCCAGTTCTGGATACTGTCTTGTCTCTTTAAAATACCATGAATTATTAGGAGAAATACTAGGGAAAATAAATGATCTGCATGAGACTGGTCCCTGTCCAAGCACTGCTCTGTAGCCTTGAGTAAGTTACTCCATCTGGGATAAACTGTTTGAGGAGTTGTCTTATGACTCCTGTAGCATAAGGCAGATCTTGAATTTCCTTGGGAAAGAGGTGAAGAACAAATTTGGCTGCTGAAGTGGCAGCATCCCCACCCTGTTGCTGCAGCTCCCCCTGCCCACCTTCTGCGCGTCAAGCAAGATAAGAATCAGTACAACCCCTTCTCACCTGCTTATTTCTGACTAGGAGCACATAAGACAGAATAAGGAGAGGCTGGATAAGGCCTGGGCAACGTGATCTAGCTGTGATGTCCCTGTCCACTGCAGGGGAACTGGACTAGATGGCCCTCAGAGATCCCTTCTAACTCTAAGGATTCTATGAATAAGGTCCCTGACTAGCTTCAGTGAGTGCTAGATCTGTTTATGAGTTGTCTACTGCTATGGTGCACTCCCTGCAGTTACGGTGGTTATTTCAGCAGGCCCCCTGCCCAAACCAGCCCTTTTCAGAAGGAAGACCCCCTAATGTGTCTCTTACCATCAGTAAGGGAGGTGATGCTTCCCAAGTTCTCGGTGCTGATCTCTGCAATATTCTCCATTACAAGAGTCTGCCTGGACAGCTTATCAAGGAGGTCTCTTGTCACAAATGGTGTTTTACCGGAGAAGACAATTTGCTAATGGAGACAAGATGGAAAGGAGTAAAAGGAGTCATTTTGAAGCCTCAAAACTTAAACCTCTGAAACACCTGGCACCTGAAGAAATGCAATGGCAAATTCTTTGCCTGGAATTATCAAATATTTCTTGTTGCTCTGCTCTGCTTTGGCTCCGATCCCCTGCCCAGCTGCCTGTGTTTGTTTAGTGTTTTCCCATGGCCAATACTCCCTGCTGCTGACATCTGCATTTCCTTCAGCAGTCCAACATCATTCATATCAAACCTGGACAGTGATCAAGCCTGCCTCCCTCAGCTGCATATTCACTGTGTGCTCTTGTATATGAGCCCCAAACTCCCTTTTTCTCATACTTGTGAGTCAGTGGAGTGTCCAGCTCAGTGCTAAGGGTACTGAAATTAGAGTTGTTCTGCATTGCTCCAGTAGGCTTCTGGAAAAAAATTGCTGATTATATCTGAGGTCAAACAGTCTGCTCCAAAATGCTGCAACTGTTGTGGTGGGGGTGAAGAATACGGGGAGGGGAGGCTCCCATTGCCACCACAGCCATCCCAGCACTTGCTGGCCTTGTTAAACCATTTACACCCATGAAAATGTAAAAATATAACGCGAAAATGAACTATGCTCAGTACCTGGATGAGCTGTGTGCAGTACTGCAAGTGCTTAACTATGGTTATATCGAGGCTGTCGCTTCCTGTGGTCAGGGGCAGAGGGCTGCCAGCAACGCTGGTGCCTACTCCTGTGTCCTCAGTCAGGGCTTCACTGAGGTGGCCCCTGGCTTCGGGGTGCTCAGTCCTGTAACTGCAGAGGGAGGAGAAGGTTAGTGTGGGGCTGTGGCTGCCTGGGCAGACAGACACACGCTCACTCAGAGATGGGCAACAAGCACGGAGCAGAGCTGAAAGCAGCGCCCTGGGACCACACAGCCCTTAGAAAGCCAGAAACATGGTGATGAAGACATCGTGTCACACTTGAGCAGTGGTACGTGAGGCACGGTAGGGACAGACCTTGAACAACATGGTGTTTGCACCAGCAAGTGTCTATAACCTTTCTGTCACATAGAGCACAAACACTGGGAGTAAACACCCATCTCTCAATAAATCATCTCCCATATTAATCCAGAAGAAATAGCGTTACAGTTGTCTGGTCTCAAGTACTGAGCTGCTGAGAGCAGATTTAGGCTATCAGCATCTTTCTGGTGCCAAATTCAATGGTCATTACAGAAAGAAAGGGAAACCACTGCTGGAATAAGGGACATGATATTTTCATAGGCTGTTTTAGGCACACTGTGTACAGCTTAGTTTGCCAGTAGTTTCTGTAAGAGCGTAAAGCTGTTCTCACTGTGTTTTAAATCATTATTTCCAGCTTCGTCTTGTACAAATGATCCTCCCTGTGTTTAAATACAAAGCCCAAGGTCAGGTCCCAGACTACAAGTGTGCTTGGCTGCAGGTCTAGGAGCGTCAGCGCCTGCAATCCTTACACTGAGTCACACGCAGCTAAAAGTGGAAGCAGGAATCCACGTTGTCTGGGATGAGCCCAGGGGGAAAAATGAGATTTTTAACTTCTACTTTAAGATTTTAGTTAGGTTCCAAGTTAGCTTACAACTAACTTCAATTTCTTCTGCTCAAGTTAAAATTATGATGAAGTGCCTGCTTAAAGCCAAATCTTTAAATCAGTGACCTAAGCTCAGAATACCAGAACAGCAAGCAAAATAACTTTCTGAGTTTTTCTTCTCACAATATCTCAGCCTGGGAAGAGACAACACAGTGAAATAATGGGATCTGAATGGTTGTTGCTTGTTTGCACTCAGAATTGTTTTGAACAGGCCATAATAAGGTGTGAGAAGCAGAGTTCCCCTGCTGGAAAGCATGGGGGCTGAGGGAGCTGAGCTCTGCTTTTTCTTTTTTTCCTGCTCTAGTGCCACACATGGGCAGTGCTAAGGAAGCAGATGTGCTTTTAGGATCTAATGATTGAAACACAGCATCTTACGGTCACACAACAACGGCAAACCACGACACAAAACACCACAGCTTTTTTTTTTTTCTTCTCTTTTTTTTCCCTCAAAAAGACCAGAAGTGATGAAAGAAGGGCAGGTAACACGCAGGGCCATGGACAGAGTACCAGTCATCACTCTTACATTCCAAAGGAAACCTACACCATGCTGCTTAAATCTGGCCCTGTGTTATTGTTATTGACAAGCTTAATCCACTGCAAAGACTCATTCGGCTAGAGAGAAAAGACAAAGGGAGGGGGGGAAAAACCACAGAGGAATTAGTAATTACATCCAAGGAAAGCCAGGTCCAAACCTATGTCAAGGAAGAGGCTCTGCCAGTATCGATGACAGCTTAATTTAATTTACCCATCTCTTTTGAGGGGGCAGATTGTGCATATTTGAAAAGATTATCCTGGAAGCTAAAGATTTGGTACGCAGCAGCCACCGTTAACCCTCTGACCCTATAAACTCCTCCAGGATTTGTCAGTCTTCCTTGAATAATGTGTGCACCGGGATCCTCTGTTAGCAACAAAGAGCTGGGGGATCAGTTTGGCTTAAGCGCAGCTGGCAGTTGCTACAAACTTACCTATTCTTCTCAACCTCAGTATCTGAAAATACTGAGTCTGCACCTCCTCCACCATTACAAACCTCCTCACCACCACCATCCTCATCATCAAAGTCAGAGGTGTTCAGGAAATCAAAGCTTTCTAAAGCACTTTCAACTGTTAGACTTAAACTGGAGGACCTGCTTCGGCTTACTGCTGGCTTGCACTGCAAAGGCAGAACGAACCAATGAAAACCCCAGATATTAGCTACTACTGAAAGAAAAACATAGAGGATAAAGCTTAAAATTTTCAAATTCTTCATTTTATTTATAATACTTCATTTTATTGGGTATTTCATTTCAAACCTTCATATTCATAGCATACACAATCAAAGCCTGGGAACTAGAAAATCCCTTTCTCCTCCCCTCCCCCTCCTACCTCCTCTTTTGCCCAAAGAGAAGACCTGCAAAGGCAAAAGTCAGCATGTTTTATAGAAAGGACAGGTACATCTCAAGTCCAAGTGACACAGCTTTCAACACCCTCCAAAAGGAGAGATGGTAATTAGAACACTGGAATTTGAAAAAGAAAGGCACATTGCATAATGGCTGTTAGAGGTACAAAAGCAGGTTTATATGTAAATACATATACAATGGCACTACTGAATGTATTCCAGATATAACTCCAATGAAGCTAAGCCACATTGGTCCCACATCTGCAGATGTATACATGTGATGGAAGACAGAGGACTTCTGTGGCCTTTGAAGCCACATTGCTTATGAAGGAAAAGCTAATCATGCATTGATTTCCTAGGTGACAGAAAAAGGTAGCATTCTAACCTGCAAACCAACAGTGCCTAGAGAGGGAGGAAATCATCCTATCTCACTTCTGGGATGAAATATCATCAAGGCATTGCTGGCGCTGCAGGAAGTACCAAAGCCCTGGTTACATGTGGTGCTTCATCCAGCTGTGCCCACAGACTTGATGCCAAGGTTACTTTGCCAGAGCAAATGATGATCAGCAGCTGGAGTTGTGTGAGGACTTCTGCACCTCATGCACTGCATGACCACTGATGCAGGCACAAAGCTGCATCTTCCAGTCCCAAGTAGGAACCAGGACTCTGTTTCAGCTTGTAAAAGGAAACAAGCTGGCCTCCGAGTTTGGACTTGGCTCCTCTAGAACTGTCAATGTTTGAAGTCTTGTTTCTAGTTTGTTTGCACAAATTGTATGTTAGCATTTATGATGCTTGTCACCTTGAACTGACAGCACAGTCTTTCGCTGTTCAAACACAGTCCACAACATCTCCACAGGGCTGTCATACTTCTGTGGCACAGATGGCTTTAGCTGCCACTTCTTTCAAGTCTGGTAGTGCAGCTTCTTCAGGCAAGAGCAACAGCAACATGTGGGCTTCATGTTTCTCTTGACCACCTGACACGGCCAAGAGAGCTTTCTTCAGCCACAGCTGGATTCCAGCTCAGCCTTCTGAGCCCAGCACAGCCACTGGGGATGCTGTGCATCCACTTGCAAGCTGGTTAATAGCCACATGCAGATGGAAAGCAGGTCTGGGAGAAGCAGCCATCCCCAGGGCTCCTGTCTGCACATCTGTCCTCTCCCCCACCATGCCTGTCCCTTTATGGCTTCTGATAAAAGGAAAGTGAATGAGCAGTCTCCACTGTCCCTGTGTTGCTTGGACACTCAACTTCATGGCAGAGCAGCCATGAAGTTGAAAATTAACAGCAATGGTAGCTTTGCCTGCTTCAAATACTGGGGAAATAGTACGAAAATCAGGGGCTGTCAAAAAAAACCCCACCTAACTTGGGGAAATACCATGCAGCTGCATACACCAATGGAAACAAAGATGTTAACAAAGCTGTGGGCTTTTTTTTGTTAAAAGATGAATGCTTCCCTCCTTCCTCCTCAGCCTTGTTTTTAAAGGATGAGGTTTAAATGACTATCAGACCAACTTGCATATGAATATGAAGCATTTGAAATGATTACTTCCCATGTGATACTATTTGCACAGTAACACATCACGAGTTATTATTCACAGGGGAGATATGAGTCACAGTGATCAGCAGTCAACATATTAACAACACACATACAAAATTCATTACTTCTTTCCAATCTCCAATGTGTTTGGTTCATCCTGGTGTAAAGACAGGATTTCTTCTTTTAAAAATGCATGGGGGAAAAAGAGAAAAGGCTTGGGGAAAAAAGCAGGAAAGGAATGGCAACCTTCAGCAGGATCTGTGCTTCAAAAATTACTTTGGCAATTCAGAAAATTCAGCTGCCATGCATACATTGCCTGATCCTCAGCTGGTGTAGCTCTGCAGAGCTTTGTGTAGTTCAATGCCAAAGTACACCCACCAAGGATGCGGCCTGTGAATTTCATACGCAGAAGATTGGCTATAATCTGATCTCCAGTATGGCACAACTAACAGGCTCTCAAGCGGTTTCTGCAGAGAAAGGCATAATGTAATTACCCCTCTGCCATTGTACCTTTTTCTCTTTCCCCCACGTTTTGAGTAGATTAAAGGATCCATTGCTCAAGCATACAAGGCTACCATCAGCACACTGCAGACAAGTTTAAAAATACAACACTTTAAAAGGGTGCTCCAACAGGAGCAAACCTGTTTAGTGATCTCTGATTTGATGTTTGCATGGAAGAGGAAGAGATTCTGCTTGCTCAGACCTCCTTTAGTGTAGTACTTTCCGAAAACGTACTCACTTTTAGGATGTCATCCAGATGCATCACTTCCTGGTCCAGGTCCTGAAACTCTTTGTACTGCTCTTTATGCGGCTCAAGAGCTAAGAGAAGCCCTTGCAAGGCTTCTTCAATGCTTCCATCGAGGTAAGACTTGTAGCCTTCTGATTCCCCACTGATGGACCCCTCACACGGCAGCCTCTCTGGGGTCCCAGGCACCTCAGTAGATGTAAGCCTTTTCACCAGCTGCTTGGTGATGTTGCCCTCATAGGTGTCCAGCTCCACCGGCTTTAGCTCAGAACCTTCATCTGTGTCCTGCAGGAGAGACACCGGGACGCTCGCCTCTATAAAGACACGATCACTCCTGGCATCAGAGGGCTTTTGGCAAACTTCAGAATGTGCCCTAGGGGTGGCCTTGATCCCGGTCACTGCTGCGTCTCCCGGGCACGGCAGGTCCTTGGGCTCAGGGACAGAATCTCTGCAGGAGCCACTGCTGCTGCAGTCTGGGCTCGAGCTCTCGGATGACTTGAGAGCTCGGTCCTGAGTAGCAGTGGTGGTGATATCGGGGCTGGAGCTGACGTGAGCAGAGGAGGGCTCTGCTGGGTTGGCAGGGGGCACGCGGTCTTCATAAGGCAGGTCGCCGAAAGTGAAGGAGAGAGGCCGCTTCTCAGTGGTTGCCGTTCCATTTTCAAAGACATCATCTGGCAAGTTTGACTGAAAAGATAATTGAGAAAGAGAGAAAATGTCTTTCGTGTCTCATTGGAAAGAAAAAAAAATCTATGTGTCTGGGCAAGACAAATGCAAGGAATAAGATTAGAGAAGCAGTCAAGACTTGAGAATTGGGAAAATCACTTGAAATCCAACTTGTGCTTTCATCTGGCACAGTTCCTGACTCCAGTAGGATTCTGCTGGGAACGCTAGCTTCAACATCTCTTTGGGGTAAGCCAAGAGCTCTGGTAAGTATGTCCCACAGCAGCCCCAAGCACTGTTTGTCTAAGCAAATTGACTCTGACAGCACTTCCATGGCACTGCCCCACTTCTTGTGGGAAATCCTCTTGGTGGGCTGCACTCAAGCTATCTTGGCTACATTTTCATGCTCTTACAGGTTTCTGTAGTATTTATTTCCTGACTTTTAAAAGTAGCAATCCCTAAACTGCAAAACAGTCTGCTCCAAAAGTTTCTCCAGTGTCACATCATTTTAATGGGGATATGACCATGCTATTCCTTTCCTGTAGAAACTACACTCTGCATGTGGCACAGATACCTCTGCCTATTGCTGAACGTGAGCTACACAAGAATCATGTTCAACACGAATTTAATCCAAAAGGAAAGAGAAGGATTTGTGTGGTGGTGTACTGACCAGGACACTGATCACATAGGAAACAAAAACAGAATATATAGATCCAAAAATGATATCATATGTACCTCTCAAAGTGATTATCAGCACATACATATGTTCACCTCTGGCTCACCTATGGGGATACTCACTGCAGGTTGTCTACCTGATCCCACTGCTTATCTGACCTACAAATTTTGCCTTAATTATTATCTCTTGTTAAATTCACTTACTGCACATTGGAGAGAGTTAGAACATTTCTGCTGACTTTTTCCCTGCTATCAGGTTTGGAGCATCTCAGAGCTGTAGTACACATCCTTCGATTATTTTACACAATTTTTAGAACAGAAAGAAAGGCAAAAAGCAGTAAGGAGGGGAAGTACAAGAACCTGCCTGGAGCCAGAATGTAATAAATCAAAGCCTGAAATTTCACAATGATGGGCTCTGAAGCAAATTTTAGCCTTCATTACGTGTCAAACTCATGCAAAAGCACAGCACAGATGAATGACAACTAGTATTTTGCTGACAATTTGCTGGAAGGAACTATAGGCACTCCCATGTTGGCAAGGTACTCACAGTTAAAATGTTCAAAATTTTCATCATTTTCCCAGCAGCTTTTTTCCCTAAACATAACAATACTCTTAAGAGTTATTTCTTCTTTCTCCTCACATGAGTATACTTTCAGCCTCTCCTTTACTGCTGAAAGTCAAGTCACTCAGCAAATGTATAACATCAATCAGTATGGCACGCCATTTTTAATAACTCCATTTTTAAGAATACCATATTGGCTTGTGCTCCTGCTCTGCACTCCCCTCTGCACTCAGAACATTACCCCTGTAGAAAAACCAAGAGGAACTTTGCTTTACCTCAAGCAGCATGGTCTCACACTCACACCCCTATCAGCAGTCAGCAAAATAAGCAAGTTGCACCAGAGAGCAGCACACGAGGCATGCATGGGAATGGAGATGCCAGATGGGGACTGATAAACTCCTTTAGCACACAAATACCAGGACTCACATATAGCTCTAGCCCCACTTTGGGGCTTAGCCTGAGCGATGGCAGGTCACTAAAAGAGCGACTGCGCCGAAGCTTGTCAAAGAAAGTGTCTTGCAGAGCATCTAAGATTGCCAACCTTGGCCTGTCTTGCAGGGGATGCAGCCATTTCTTCAACAGTTAAAAGCAAACATGGTGAGGAGGGCAGGTTAACTGAATGCTTTGTAGCAGAGTATTTAAATTACAGGCATGGGACATAGACTTGTAAAATTCATATCTCTACAGATGACCTATTCAGCTTAATACACAGTCCTTATAAAGCATTCAGAATTTCTTTCACACAAAATCTAAGAGCACCTTACAAATCTCTTTTTTACCAGGGGACACATTAAAAATACTACTGCTGCAATGGCTGTTTAACCACTGCTACAGGAGGAACAGATATTATATAAAGATTACTCAAGTAACACAGCAGTCAGGGGAGAAGAGTAGTTACATGGTAGTTGGCCATATAGCATGCCAGGACTACCGCCACCTTTGAGGATTAGGAGCTAGAAATGCATTTGCTTTGTAAGTATTTGTGAGGGTAACTTGCTGACACCAGGGAAAAAAAGCCTAGATGTAGAAAGCAATGAAGCGTTTGCAGTGTTTGAACTGTGCTAGGGTTTCTCATTACATAAACATGAAGCCAAGGAGGGCTTACAAAGAACGAGTGATCCTTGAAGGTTGGCGTCTCTGGAGTGCCTTGGCTGTACATGGACATTCTCCTTTGGAGAGCAGAGGCCTTGCTCACGTTTCCCGTGGAGGGGGTCAGGTCCTCCACATCAAAGGGGCTGCAAGCACACGGACAGGGGGAAAATAAAAAAAATAATTAAAAAAAAATAATAAAAAAGCATTGTTAGGCTGATGGAGAAGGAATTTCAGGTCCGCAGAAAGGATTTTTTGAAAAGGGTGTTTATTAGCACATCAAAACTCAGAGGTGGCATTTTTTTAACTGAAGTGTTTTAAAAGAAAATGTTAATTAAGCAGCAGGCTCAGAAGTACAGTTTTCATTTCTAAAAGCATTTTATTCTCAGAAACCTTTTATGCAGTACTGCCTGCTTCTCACAAGAAGAATATTCTTGGAGCTGAGTTGACAGATAGAACGTGTGATAACAAGGTAGGTGCTCAGCAGACTTAACAGTAGCTAATAGAGCTGTTGTACTATAAAGGAAATCAGTTGCTGCCATTGCTAGCTTCATATTTATTGCATTACAAGAAACAGCATACATGACTGTAAAACTTAAAAACATTAATACTACTTAAGAAATGACAGTTATCTATTTCATTAAAATACACTGAGAATTGGGTTTGAATCCAAACATTATCAGCTTACCCATCTCACCACTGCACATAGACAGTGCTAGGAAAGAAACTTCCCACTGCCCTCATGCCACATACAAAAACCACAAAGTCCAGCTTTGAAGCCATATTTTTTTCCCACAAAGAGACCACATTGATAGACCTCTTCTGTATGATTTTTATCTACTTTTTTTTTAAAACAGCCACTTGACCCAGAGACCATCCAACCAGTTTTACTTACTACCAGGTGATTTCAAGGTTCAGCTTAATTGTGCCAAGGTCATTAATGTCTACTGCAACCACCTGGGGCCGAGCTGCAAATAGGTCTTTTGTTTCACAGGTAACACTTCCTACAAGGATGTGAGTAGCAAGTCCCTTCACTTCTGTCACCTATGAGAGAAAAAAAACAGGACATCCATGATCATGCAAGGTATTGTAATCCTTAATTCTAGCATTAGGTGGAATGGTGGTGGCCCTGCATGTGGCAGGGGGGTTGGAGATTCATGATCCTTGAGGTCCCTTCCAACCCTGGCAATTCTGTGATTCTGTGATTACAATAAATGGTTTAGTTTTTTTTTGGTCTTGGGTCTCTTGCTAGAAGGCTTTTAAAATATGATTATATTTGTTGCGTTTTCATTACTTAGGAGAAAAATGAAAATTTTTCTCTTTTTCATAAAGGTATAATTGCACACAATCATGCTTATGAAACATAGGCATATCTTGTATGTTTACTTTATGGTTTTTGTTGGTGTCAGAAGAGAACAAGCAGACTGGGTCAGACCAAGGACCGTCTTGTGTTGTATTTGTTCTTTAGCAATGACTGTATGCAGAGTCTGAGGGAATGGCAGTAGCAGGCATAGTGTATCTGGTGTTATTTCACCTAACATTCTCTCTGCAATAGGCAGCTTTCATATTAGGGCATTTCCTAATAAAGTTTGCCTGCCTAGTAACTCCTAAGGGGACTCATGTCTCTGTATTTGTTTCCAGTAACTCTGAACGTATGTAATCCTTACATCTACAATGGTGTTTGGAAAAGACTTGCACAAATCTAGTAGGGAAGAATCCCTCATAAAACCATATAAGTTTTTACAGTAAGAGTATAGTATAGCACTATTCAAGCTTATGTGTGCGTATATCTCTTTTCCTGAAAATTCAGAGGGATAATTATACATGCAGATCCTGTACAGAGGACAGGATCTGGAGTCAGGCATGAAGAGAGATGTTAAACTTTGGGAACTGCTGTGTGGGAATTGCAAAAAGAATCAGGTGCACAAGTTTGTTTAGTGCAGCTGGGTGGTAGGACTGAGCTCTGGGCTGTTCCAACTTACACCTGATTGTCCCCTATATGTGTTTGAACTAGAGACCTCTGCGTTTCTCCAGATCAACAGATGCTGCTCTTTTATCTGAGCAGCATTAACTAACTCATCAGCAGTGGATTTTTTGGGTTTTCAGTTTGCTTTTGTTGTTGTTTTGCTGAATACTGTTAGCAAATAAGTTTCTACAGATTTATGTTGCTTTAGTGCAAACGACTAAGAGTTGCTGGAGAGCAATGTGAGGCAAGGGTTACATTAGTAAAGGTACCTGTACAGGGAGCATTAAGACAACCTCTCCCACAGGGCTACCAAACTGATTAGCCTTGTAGCATCTAGAATTGCATAGTACTATGGCACTTCATTCAGTCAAGTGTGCTTGAAATACTAATTATGACTCATTTCAAAGAAGTTACATGGTCTACTTCTGTATTTTTGCTGATCATGCACATAGAAGTCTCTTGGCTCTTGTCTGCCTGCAAGCAAGACAAGTTAGTATGCATACCTTTATGGAGATCAGTCCAACAATGAGAGGGAGGAAGACCATTTCTTCTCCATCCCAGCTTTGCTTGCCATTCACTTCTATTTTGCCTTTCAATTTCCATCGCTGGCGACCGTAACGCATGAAAATCTGAAAAAGAGAAGTCCTCTTATTATCCTGAGAAACTTGCTCCCTTAATGCTCGAATACTAGAAAGGGAAGGTCCCCTTTTGCAGTTCCCTAACTCCTAGAGCTTGATGGGTAGGCTAGGTGGGGTTTGGCCATCCCCTGTTGAGAGGCCTCTGCAGTTGCAGGGCTTTGGCTGATGATGAAAACAGAGTGACAGTGGTGCAACACCTCAAACTGAGGTGGTATGCTGGTATGGCTGCCACGGACTTCAGAGCTGGCTGGGTGAAACCAGCACCAACATTGGGCCTGCAGAGGCTTGTAGACATGAAAGTGGTGGGAAAAATTGATGATAGCCAGAGTGGGGAATCAATGACCAAGACAGCTGTGAAGTGCAGATTGTAGGGGGAATCCATAATCAAACCACTGCAAATTCCCTGCTGGACAGAGCTGGAGGGTTTTAGTTTAACGTGTTTCTAATGAACCTGCTTTTGATGTTCTCTAGGTCACTGCAATGACCTGAGATATTGACACAGCTTCACACCGTGTAGCACTGGGGTCTCAAAAGAAATGATTCTGTGTCTTTTTGCTTCATCAAGAAAACTCCAGCATGCAGTTAAGAATGTTTGCAAGGACCTGTTCAGTGAGCTGCATACGTAGGGTGAGGCATATGCTTTATTTCCAGAAGAATTAGAAATGCTTGTTGAGAACAAGATGGTGAAAAGCATGCCCTAATTCTGGGAGACACTTAAACACAAGAAAAAAGCCTTATTTTCGTTTTGTTTTTTTTTTTAAAAAAAAAAAAGAAGTCTTGTAGTTCATGGAATATCTATCACCCAGTGCTCCAAATGTAATTTTCAAGTCTTGTGACAGATGCCCTAACAAAGGAAGATAAGAGACCTGCAATGATTTTCAGAAAGCTTACAGGAAAACTAGCAGCTGTTTCTTGGTATGGAGATGTCAGTAAGTTTTATTCAATGTGGAGTAAAATGCAGCCTGCCTCCCTTGTAATTCTTCTTCTGTTGAACTGGAAGCCAAGTGCTACATACCTCATACTGATCCCCAGGGCAGAGCCGAGCGAAGCCAGCCAGACCTGGAGAGAGAGACAGGGAGAAAGGGTCAGTGCAGACAAACAGCCCTCTGGGTCTACCCGGTAGCCACCAGCTGTGACAGGAGAGGGCTGTTTTTTTTTTTTCTTTGATACAGAAATTCATCATGTAGTGGTTTTGTGCGTATCAAAGACTTGCGCTTCCCAGCTTTTTCTCCTCCGAGCATACTTTTCCCTTTTGTGTAATAACTATATAAAACAGAAGAAATAGCTTCCTGGCTTCAGAAGCTGGGCTTCATGCTCTGACTATCACAAGGCGTAGGCGAGCTGCTGGTTAACCAGCAAGCACTGCATGGTAACTCAAATCAGCCCCAGCTATCAGTTCTAACAAGAAGTCTGTGTTATAACTTCCTAGTGGAAACACAGTGAGGGAGAGGAACTCCTGCATCCATAATGTAACTGCTGCTGTACTACCCCAGTGTCTTTGAGCACTAACTACATCAAGAACCACAAGTGACCTCTGTAATATGACATTTATCCTGTCTTTCCCCAGAAGGGTGAGATATATGCCACAACAGCTTTGCTGTGCTGTCTGCTTGAGAGCTTTTCTTAAAAGGATGTCATGATGCTATTTCTGTGTAGGCACCATACATATGAAATGGAACGTTTCCTGGGGCTTGTGACCATTCTGGAGTCCCAGCAAAGCCACCACCCTCCTCCTGCCTTGTAACTTGCCCTCTTGCAGGATGGGGACAACTGGCTGCTTTCTGGTCACCCAACTCTCTGCATAGGGAATCTCTTCTTCCTCACTGATCTCTTCATTAGATAGCAACTGCATTTATTTTGATATCAAGAAAAATTAATTGCTTCATTTCCTTCAGCTGCTCACCACCCCAGGCATACACCACATCTTTTTTTGTCTTTTCATACCAGCTGCCACTGGTACTCTCAGAGAGAGAGAGAAAGAGGTGTGTTAGCATCAGCACAGCTAAGATGTGCCCCAGTGTTGGCTTCTACTACCAGGCTGCAGCTGGACTGTGGGACCAACTAGATCCCTTTTGTGCAGTCATGGCCTGTACTTGTCATCTGCCGATCTTTCATTTCTTTCATCAGAAAATAGTTTTCTTCACTCATCCTATTGCTTAGCTGAATAAAGATGCCCTTGTTCAGAGCTCATATTACCAATTCCTGTCTAATTTATTTACTGTTTATAAATAATTCAAACTTTCTAGCACTCCACTGCTGCTCCCCTCTCCCTAGGCACACTTTTACAAAGGAATTTGATCTCTGCTGGGATGCATCTCTGAAAACATCTGAGGAACATAAAAGGCCCCTTCTTTGCTCACTGGATGGGGGATGTGGCTGGGGCCTCTGTGTGCGTGCTGTCTGGAGCTGAGGTCTATGCTCTGTGACAGGCCCTGCCAGGCACCAGCTTAGGCAGGAGCTGAGGTCTAGGAATGAGGTCTTAAGGCTGCTGTTCAGGTCTCTGCAGCCTGATGATGGGCAGACCAAACAGTGCACAGCTGCTGAGCTCAAATCCCTGTCACAAGGCACGTAGGTTTTGGTGACATGAGTGGCTCTTGGGGCCTCAGTGTATAGCAGGAACCAACGGCTCTTACCATAGAATCATTAAGGTTGGAAAAGACCACTAAGATCACCTAGTCCAGTTATCTACCCATCTCCACTAACCACATCCATCAGTGCCACACCCACACAGTTATTAAACACCTCACTGGGCAGCCTGTTCTAGTGCCTTACCACTCTTTCAGAGAAGAAATTTTCCCTAATATTCAACCTGAACCTCCCCTGATGCATCTTGAGGCCATTCCCTCTTGCCCTATTGCTGTTACCTCTGGAGCAGAGGCTAATCCCCATCTCCCTACCACCTCCTGCTTGTACAGCTTCAAATAGCTTTGTAAAAGCAGTGTCCTGGGCTCAAGATACAGGAGGGGAAGGTGGTTGCTTTTGGGAGGTCAGTGCAATTAGTGGCAGGACAGGGCCGCTAGGTGGCTATATAAGGTATCAGAACACAAACATATTTTGTGTTCAGGGCCCTGAAGCCTTCTGCAGCATGCATAGCTCTACTCAAGTGCAGGAATGTGGGCAGGTGGACTTCACTGCTGGACCAGTGTTGCTCTGAGATGGCTGAGTGTTTTGCTGTCTGCTGTTCCGGGGCTTCAAAGAAGGGCAAGGGCACTTCTCTGTGCATTGTAACAAGGTGCTTGGCTTACCCATGCAGACTTTCTACAGTCCCACATTGGGTTTTCTTGTTTAATTTCAGCTGATTAATCCTGAGCTACTGTTCATTCTTGCAAGTTTGTTATCTTTATTTTGAGAATTCATTAGGCTTTTAAAAAAAAAAGTTATGTATTGTACGATCAACAGGTATACAGTGGTTAGGGTAAGTAGGGTTATCGTGGTGGAAAGACAATAAATGAAAAATGCTCACTAATGTTGTAGGCTTACAATATTCCCCACGAGGAGCAATCTCCAAGAAGAGATCCTTCCTCAGTGGAAGTCAGCACTTAAATGGGCTCTAGGAGAGGTGGAGTCAGGCTCCAACCCTTCTGGTAGCACAGGTGAATTGCCTTCACCTGTGCTCCTGTGGCTGACTCATTGCTTGCCTCAGGTGGTCAATCAGAGGTTCAGGCCGTGGTCAACAGTTCCCATACATATATCAATCATAAAAACACAGCATAGGCTCCCTGCTTCCTGATGGTGCTGTGTGGGTTGGCTCGCTTTTCATGTAAGCAACAGAGTATACACTAAAATAACTGTCACTAGAGTGGCTAGAAACAGGTAGGCTTTGGGGGGAGGAATACCTTGATTTTTAACATTAGATTCTAAAATTAGTTGGCTGTGCTGTGGTGTAATGAAAGGATGCTTGCTATGTGATCACTAGGCTTTTGTGCTGGAGCTGCTCTAGCTGTGCTAATAGCAAAAGTTGGATTGTCCTACTGGATTCTCATTCCTAGGGAAAGTAACCTAGGTAGGAGTCATGGTGTCCTAATTAGAAAATACTTAGTAATATGTTATTTCTCTTTGTTAATTTCTCATTTGGCTTCTTTATGGTACAAGAATGTTTAGATAGAGCAAACCACAGATAACAGCTATCTGCTCCACTGTAGCCCACGGGCATTCCTAGAAGACTTGGGCATATAAGAGAGAAGGGGCCAGGCCTTTTCAGCCCAGTTGTTTGTGATGCCCTGATGCCTTCTATGACACATCACCTTGTCTTGAACTGTGCATTGCACTGCATTTGCAGCAACTATAGAAATACCCTGAGGGGTGCAGCTTGATGCAATTTCCTGTCTGTGCTGCATGGCCTCAGGTTTACTATTTTGAAGTTCAGCTCCATGGACATTCGTGTAGCTCTTAAAAGGTTGTGGGGATAGAGGCAAAAGGTGCAGCAGCCTTCAAGCTGAATTGCTTTGGCTGTTGGGAAGAGCATTTGGGAGAACCTAACTAGCACATCTCCCTTGAAAACATGAATCATCTTATTGGAAGAATCTCTCTGCAAACTGCCCCCAGCTCTGTGATCCTTTCCAAGGGCAGAGGTGCAAGTCAGAGTTTGAAGGCTCAGCAATTAGTGCAGTGGAGGGGAAAGCATGCTTCTAAGTACATATAAAAACAAAGCATCTCAGTGCCCTCAGTATCAGGCACAGACTGACTTCTGCTGTTCAGTGAAAGGAAAAGTGAAAAAGTAATTACCTTTCATCTTGATACAAAACTCCCCCAGCAGGTTTTCCAGCTCTGCTTCAATGGTACACATGTTCTGTTATGAAAGACAGAATAGCGAGGTCAGAAAAACCCTCTTTTTTTTTTTTTTCTTCATAAATAAACACTTCTATTATGCAAAGGAAAGGTATTTTTCATTAAAATCAATATGCAAGAGCTACTCTTGTTTTTAGCAAAATCTGGCCCTAAAAAGCAGCTGAGCTATGCCTGCTCACACTGAAGCTGAATGTAACCCTGAGATCTAATCTTGGCATTAGCAGTGGGCAGCTGTGGCCCTTAAAGGATAGCATGGCTACTGTCCCTGTCTTCTCCAAGCCAGGACGTGGGCCAGCAGCAGCTCCATGCCAGAGTAGCTCCCAGCGTGTTTTTAATCTCCCAAGAAACATGGACTACATTAAAAATAAAGACTGTGTGAGATGGGTACTTGACCCTCCCCAGAAGAGCTAGGCAAGATGCCACAGCTTGTGCACTGTGATGTTTGCAGCACTATAAGACTTTCCATAATTAAACTGCTGGTTTAATAAAATGAGATAGTAATCACAGCAATTGAAACTGGATGCAGAGCACAAGATGTCTGCTTGTTCTAGCTACCCTGCCACCCTAATGTCTGCAGGGTGGGAAGGAGCATGTATGGTTGCAACACACGTAGGTTCAGGGCAGATTTACTTCTTTACAAGCAGTGGTTCCTGCGGTATAGTCCTGGTCTTTTGGAACATTATTATTATTTCAAAGAACTCTATGGGCTTATGTCACCTGTCTTTATAAGATAGCAGGCATTCACTTGAGGACAAATAAATAATTAACAATCTTCCTTCACTAGTTTTACATCTAACCCCTTTATCTGGATGTGATTATCACTGAAATGAGTGGCCAAGTTTTCATGGCCTTTCAACAGTGAAAATGAAAGACCAAATGGATGAGGACATACCTCTGTATATTCTTTGTAACTCCTGTTGATTTCGGTTAAACTCTCTCGAGCTGCTTTGCTGGCAGGAGACATTGCAAAGGCCTGCTTCATTTTGCTGGCACCATCACAGAGACGTCTCTGAATACAGTAGGCCTCGTAAAGCTCATCCACCTAGAGCAAACAACAGGAACAGTGAGGAAGGGAGGGGAAAAAAAAAAAGATAAACTGAGAACTCAATGAAGTAAAACAATTGTGTTACAAGGAAACTAAGCCAAACAAGTGGTTAAACCCTCAGATGGAGAGTGAGTGGATGAATGAAGCTGTCATACTATTACAGCTGACCAAAAAAAAAATCAGCACAAAATAAAAGTGTCTTCTACTGCATAAATCTCACTACCGTGATAACAGATGCTTTGCAGCAACTCATCTGCTTACCCTGTATGCCTTAAGTTTTGCTGGTGCCTCTCCCTCCAGTTTGAGACATGTGCAATTGCAGCTGAACGGGAGGAATGCAGCAAGCTTCTAAAATATATTGGTGTCATAAGTGCTCTTTCAAAGATGTGGACAATGTCTACACTGCCAGATGGGAGTGGCATGTTAACTGGCACATTTCTTAGGGATGGCAGTGTCTTCAGTATTGCTAATGCCAGCCATGCATTAAGACTGTTGCGATATTGGACTGACAGGTAATAGTGGGAGAAAGGAGTGGTTTTAAAACCTCAAGAACTAGGAGTTGTAACCTGAATAAGAAAAAGTTTAGAAACAACTAATGTCAAATTAAGTATTTTGAACTTCAGCTCCATAGATTCTTGCGTAATTTCCTTGTGATCTTCTCAGAGTCCTTGGCATGGCTGAGGCACCAGTCATTCAGTAAGCAGTCTGAAGGTTTTGTAATACTTGGTGACGTACAATGTAAAGTTTCACATGGATCTAGCCTGCAGTGGATTTACATGTGTCTTATGTTTTGGTTTCCCTTTTCTCTCTAATCCCTGCACTGAATATATATGGTTTACGCCATCCAAGCTGTCCAGTAGAAGTCTACAATGGTATAGTTTAACTTATGGTTGAGAAGACAGGTTTTCTTATCTGACGTTATCGAGGGAGGAGAGGAAAAGAGAAAGATGCATCTCTTCCTGCTTCTAATGTCCCTGTGAGGATGGAATGATATCTGTTCTTTATCTAGAATAACTGTTTTCCTTTGTTCTCTGACATTAAGCGTCTGGCCTACCCATGCTGGTGCTTTCTCATGGATTTTTGCAGCAGAATTTCTCTCTGTGGAAGCTTCCAGCACCTTGGTTTTGCTAGCCTATGATCATTTTGCTGTGCTAGAAATGATCCTGATCCAGGTGTCCTACAATTGTCTTTTTTTTTTTTTTTTCTTAATCTCTAGCGAAAGGTGTCACTGATTATTTGTTTGGAGTGGGACTGCTCTTCCTGACTTCTTCAAAGCACAACGTTGACATGTATAAGGCAGACTTATATTCCTGATAGCAGAAGCCCCTATTGTTGGTTCTCCAACCAACATGGGAACTACTCTCCAAGTGAAATGGTGCAGCAAAGAGTAATGGAAGCCTTAGGCAGCATCTTGACATTTCAGAGTTACAGGAAAAACCTTCTTGGCAATGTACCCACGACTTTACCACTTCTAGGTTAGCACTGTTCCCTATGCTAAAGACAGCTCCTATAAATTGCCATTGCTTGGAGTTGACTCCTGCCATCAGGGTGGAGCACTGAGCTCGTCCTGCTATCTCCAGTGAGAACATACTCATCTGCCCTGATAAATAAGTATGGTCTGCTGCTGCATGCTGTTTCCCACCCTTTGCTTCCTATACAGCGGGTGCCCTTGTTCAGCACAGGGTTGAAAGAGCCCTTCGGCATCTGAAACAAAACTGTGCTGTCACCTGAACAAGCCCACAAGTTTTAATGCAATGCAACTCTGCTCTTCCTGCCTCTGTTGCTGTGGGTTACAGGAAGAAAACTAATGTGCTCAGATGACCAGCGTTATCCTCTTGCATTTGGTGCCTTTCATTCCTATTATAAGCATAGAAACCATTAGCTCTAAGAGGGCTGGAGTGGGAAGGCCTTCAATGGAAATGTTCCCCAAGCAGTAATTTTGCCATTCATGTTGCCAGCAAGAAAGAAAGCGGGTGGGGGAACAAAATTTCAGTCTATTGCCTATTGACTTTTTTTCAGCTCTCAGAGTAAGAGAACACAAAATTAAAAGGTTTGGATGGGCTGTCATAATTGGAGCACTTCAAGCTGTATGAATGCTTTTCAAATGGCTCTCAAAAGGCATTTCCTCCATCAAAAATAATTCCTTCTTTTGTCAGGCTCAGAAAAGTAACTAATAGCTAGCAGATATGTTTATAACCAAGAGAACGCATGTCGTGAGCCTCATCCAACTCTGAACTGTATAGGTATAAATCACAAAGTACCTCTACTGGGTACAAGACTCATTCTCACCAATGCAATCAAGAGGATGTGAGCCCACCAAACCATGCAGCAGAAGATGCACAAGATGACTGAGACCAGCAAAAACATCCTAGGTGTGATGTGCTGTGGAGTTACAGCTGGAGAAGTAGATGGCTTTCAACTGTCACTCCACTTTTACCTATAGTTTATAAATAAGCACACTCTGAGAGACTTGCCCGAGAAAGGATCTGTTCCTATGTTCTCACTACGGCTAAAAGTGCATGGGAGTGTTGTGGGGCATGGAGAGGAGCTGGACATCAGAGGTTACCAATGAAAACCCTCTTTATCTCTGAGCACCAAGCTGTTAGAGCAAAAATACTGAATCTGGGAGAGGCTTTGTCAAATCCACCTCCCTGGAAGGTGGAGGGAGGGGAGCAGAAGTAGGCCCAGAGGTTGTTTTTTCTAATGTAGGACATGCTTGGGGTGCTCGTTACCTTGCTGATATGGAACTCCAGCCTCCTCATGTATCGCTCAACTGCTTTGATTTGCTGGGGGAAACAGAAAGGTACAGAGTGAGGCACATGTCTGCAAGATGTCTCCACGTTAGCTTGTGGTCTTCAGATTCCCAGGAGTCTGAGGAACTCCTCCTTAACGCACGCAAGGCATTGCTGACCACGAATCCAGCCTCAACTGTCCCACCTTATTGTGATTAAGCTGCTGCTGAAAATGGAGCTCACTGATATCTGCACATAATATGCTTTTAGGTATGAAAACATGCTTTCTGATGGAGTCTGCATCAATTTTCTTTGATGCAAGTTCCCTAGTTCATTTGAAATTAATAAGTTGAGCACTTTTGGCTTAAAAACCTCTGTATTTTAACTACTTTGAAAGCCTATATTAAAACTGGTAAGATTTTGCATTTCAAAAACCTATTCTTCTCCTGAATAAACTGTTTTTGAAAGCAAAATCAAGCTTGTCATTTTAATTGAAAAAAGCCAGATAGTTCAGGAAAAGCTTTTGAGGGCTTTTATTTTGTTTCAGCCAAAATTTTCCATACAGAAAGAATACTTTCAATTCTTCAGCTTGTTCTCCTCCCAGCAGTGGCCAGAGCAGGAGTAAGCAGTGACCACACAGGCTAGAATTACTCCAAGGGCAGCTATCAGCAAGCCCACCTCTATACATTTCAATCCTCTGGGGAGTTTGTCCTGCTCTTTTGAATGTCCATGCCATGAAGTGCTGGCTGGCTTTCACTCAGAGGAGCATAACGTGAGAGGAAAGGCAGCTGCTTGAGCCCTTGGCTCGTTCCTCTGAGATTGACCTGCAGACACCCAGGATGTGCCCTTGCCAGCCTCCCACCCCTACTGGGGGTTACAGGGCAAAGTTGCACAAAGCAACTGATTAAATGGCTTGCAGGTAACTTTTGTATCAATGACATTAGCCTGGCTATTAGAGTTGGCTGAGAGTTTCCAGCTCCATACATCATACAAATACCAATGCCACCTTGCAAGAAGTGTTAAAAAGGGTAACGTACCTTATCTAAATCGTACAGGACTCCCTGCAACAGAGAAGGTGAAACTGTAATTTATTTTGAAACATAACAGTGCTAGAGCACTGTAAGACAATAATATTTATCAGTGAATAGAAATTGAAACCAAGATGAGAGCTGGAAGAGACAAAGATCATGCATGCACATGCCTGATTTCCCACTCCCAGTCCATGCCTGTTCCAGTACCTCTGGATAGGTACTGTGCTTCTCAACACAATCACAAGTATGACACGTACCAGGCGTGAGTTTCTTCTCATGTCTTTTAACTGAGCAGTCAGCTTGTCCAGCTCTGTCTGGTGCACTTCCAGATACTCGCTGTAAACACAAACCAGAGAAGGGAGGCATGAGCTCTGCAGCGTGTCATGGAGCCGCTTCCTGAGCGCTATACAAGGAAATTTCTGCAACAAATGGCCTTCCTCAAAAAGCTGATCTGTATTGATCTGTTCTAAAAACAGTTTCCCTGCTGCCGTTCTGAGAATAAGTCAAAGTCACTTGTTTAAGCTGTGCAGTGTTTTCCTGATGTTAAACAACCACCTTCAAGTAAGCTATCTTCTGCTTAGTTTACAGGCTGGTGCTTTCCAATTGCTGCTATTGTGTCTGGTTGGTAAGAGCCCTTATCATCAGAAGCGTTATCTTAAGGACGATACATGCTTCTGATATGACTCCAGGAAACCTGGAAGGGAAAAAAAATATCTACTGTTGAAATCCCTGTCCTTGGGACTTTTTCAAGCAAACAGAATTGGAATTCCAGACTGATTTTCCCTACGTGTTTCCAGTCCTAAGTGTTACTCCAACAGGTACATTTTTCTATCCTACCGTTAAGGATCTTTGCTTCTGTGAAATGTTTTTCTAGACACTAAAATGTCCCAGAAGGCTTCAGTCAACAAGCACAATAAAGGCTCTTACTCCAGGCCATTCTTCAAGGCCCTGTAGACCTCTTCCATTCTTTTGGGCTGGGGCTCCTTGGGGGTGGTGCTGTTCTTGTGGCCCAAATTATGCATTTTCTTCACCTTTGCTTGGGGCTTCTTGAGCGCAGAGGAATTTTCAATAAAAGAATTACACCTGCAAAGTGAACATAAAAGAGGAGAAAATCCCTATAAATCATAACAATCTCAAAGAAGTATAGCTTAAAGAGATCTTCCTGATCTTATCTATGCTAGAGAAATGGGTCTGCTTACATGCCTGCCGCTTAAAGGGCTGTGTTTGTTTACAGGTTGAGAGGTCTGAGCATTCTGGGATGTGTGCCATCAGCTTTTGATGTGCCAGTTGCCTTTCCCAGATATGAAGTCCCAGGCTCATCAGGCATTTCTCTGTCTTATCCCGTGCCTGTCCTGCCTCCTGCTGCTTAGACGCAGCCATGAAAGGGCTAAGAGCAAAGGGGTGCCTAGATAATTTCAGGTGTAAAGTCTGGAGATTCCTAAGACTGGGGACTGGTTACATGTGTGTCTGGAGGCCTGATGGTGGCTGCATCTCCTCACAGGGAGCAGAGGGGCAGCACTGGGCTCTGCTCTGTGTGACAGCGACAGGGCCCGAGGGAACGGCATGGAGCTGTGTCAGAGGAGGGAAGGCTGGGGCTCGGCAAAAGGGTCTGCACCAGAGGGTGGTGGGCATGGAGTGGGCTGCCAGAGTTCAAAGCAACGTTCTCAGACATAGGATTTGAATTTTGGGTGGTCCTGTGTGGGGCAGGAATTGAACTCGATGATCCCTGTGGGTCCTTTCCAACTCGAGCTATTGTATGATTCTCTATCATACTGCTGGTCTTGATTGTGGACCACAAATGGAGGACAGCTGTGCTGCATGTAGGTGGCTCTTTGGCTCCCCTCCTACAGGTCAGCATCTAACCCTACTGCTGGCAATCGGGAGGTGACCTCTTCACCCTGCGGCTCCTCCCTGACTGCTAACTGGTGATCTGGAGCTTGGTGGGGTTCACACAAGTTGAAACTAATTGGAAAGCAGCCTCTGGCTGACCCGGTAAAGTACGTGGCTCAAAGCCTGAAGTCCTGTCTAGCCAAAGGACCGTGCATGGAAAGGCTCTGCACAAGGATCTGCTTCCAGTAGGATGTTGAAACAGCTCTGCAAAAAAAAAATAAATGGGGCTGCTTTGACTTCACAGCAGCAATGAGAAAACTGACTTTTAGGTAGCAGCAGTGTGAAGCTGGGGGCGGTGGAAAGCTTATCATAGTTCTGTGCATTTTACTTGTGAGAAGATTGCTGCATAAGTTAGGAAATTAAATTAAAATCATTCTCTGAGATGTTCTCACAACTCTGAGGAATGTGAGGAAGCCTTGCATTAAGGGTGGAGGGGAAGTACTTCGTAGTTAAGATGCAGGGTAACAGCTTAATGACACGGCCAATATATAAGGAGATTTTAGCCTAGAAAACTTATTCCTGCAAGCTGGGGAGAAGGAAGTTCTCCATCACCTCTTTTCTTCCTTCTAAGCCCTCAGGCCCCTTTAGCACCTGACTGTGAAAGCCACTTAAAGAACATGGTACTTGCCTGGAGCGTCTCTCTTGCAGACCGCTGAAGCCAGCAAAGGACTGGCTCCTGATAATCCCATTAGGACCTCCTGGAGAGAATGAATGTGATCCTATTGACATGATTTCCGGAAGCCGGGAGGATATTCCTGAAAAACAACAGAAAGAAGGTCAGGGATCGGGGTGGGCAGGAGGCGTGCTGTGAAGCAGGGGTATCAGAAAGGAAAAAGGGCAACCCAACCCTAGGAGGGGCTGTGAGCCAGGGCATGAATGCAACCCTCAACTCCAGTCTGCTGAGGTTGCTTGGTTTGCTTGGTTTGCAGAATAAATTACAAGAGTGCCTGCAAGGATGTCTTATGTTCATGGAAAACAGCAGAAATGGTGAGGGTTTCACCAGCTCATTTGTCTCACCTCAGGAAAGAAGTGGCCTTGTTTCAACATCTGACTTACAGCCCATACAGCTGTATGCCTGTCCTGGACTATGAAAGCCATGTTGTGGCTGCAATGAGGATCTGGGTGTGGGGCTGGTAACCAGCTGCTGTGATATGCTAATCCCAACAGTGGCCCCAGTTCATGCCATGCCTGGCACGCTTCTCCCCCAGCTCCAGCGTCACCGTCTGCCACACCAGAAGTGCTACCCCTTGAGTGCTACACTACGCTGAGGTGGTCAGTGAACTAAGAAGGACCCCGGACCCTGTTGAATCCCTATCTCACAGGACCCATCCATTCACCACTGCCTTCCTTCCTGGGGTGCTAACACCATTGCTTTGGGAAACACATGGAGAAACTAAGCCAGCTTAAAATAACCTGACCAAAAAAAATGAACAAAAATATTGTTTTCCCATTTATTTTAAAAGCAGACCCTGGCACACCCCCATATCCTTAGTTCATTTCACCCTGCATCTCCTCCACAGCTGTGGATGAGTCTGGGGCTGAGACAGGGCTGCAGCAGGACTCCAGGTATTAGGGCTGGAGCTGCCTGCAGGCAGCAGAGCTGATGCTTTCCGACACTGCAGCCTATGGGACTCAGTGGGTAAATTTAAAGCAGCCTCTCATCCCCACAAATGAATAATCCATAGCTGAGTGCCCGAAAGGGAGCCACGTGTGAGGACCACAGATTTGCAGCCTGAGCCTTCACAACCAAACGTATTTATTGCAGATAAGGAGCAGAGCTATGCAGTGCCTCCACGGCAAACACTCACTGGAAAAAGCAAATATGTGGGGAAATGTCGTGCACAGTCCAGTTATGTTTGATTTGTAATGCTAGGCTGGACAAATACTCCCTGAGGTGGCATTCAGCACCGTAGCGAGCTGCTACTTTTCTCTGGAGAGGATTATATTGCCCAAGAAGAGCTGCTTTGTCAGGAATATTTCTACAAGAGCTCTGCCAAAAGTATTTCTTCCAGCCTCAGAATTGTCAGCGCTATTAGCGATGTGAAATTTTCTCCATTACACAACCCAAAGAGCATCGATCTCCTGATTTTGGAAGTGAGAACTGATCAGTACCCTGTAACTGGGCAGCCCTCACAGATGCAGCCTTGGCATTGTGATAGGTGTGCTTAAGCCAAATTTTCTCCATTGCTGTGACCAGCAGGTAGCTGTGATCTACCTGGGAAGGTCTGGAAAGGTTTCTGTCTCCATCCAGCCTCATGTCTGGACAAGAACAACCACTGAGGTCTCTCTCAAGCTAGCTATGCCAACCAGAGCCTTCCGGAACAATCCCCAGGCACATCTAGGGAATTAGCATGGGCTAGAGGCTATTCCAGCTACTCCAGCATGCAGCTTGGATGTGGCCAGACCCCTTTTTTGGGAGACTTTTATAGCTGGAGACCATTCCAATTCATCTGGCCTTGTGCCTGGAGCACAGGAGCAGGAGTGACGGGTTTATGGCAGAGCTCCACAGGAGTATCTGCAGATGTGAGCCCTGGCTGCCAGTTGTCCAGCTCCCAGCCATCACTTCTCACCTCCGCTGTGCTGGTACTGGTACCTGCTAGGATCAACTTTGGGATACAGAATTGTCTTCAGCAGGCCAGTGCCATAACCTGGAAGCAAAATCTTGCACCCTGTTCATCTAACAGCGTGTTTGTTGTATTCATTATGTTCACTATGCAGCTATGATCATGCTGCGAAAACCCTTCTGAGAACCAGCCCAAACCCCCCTGAGAGGAGCAGAAAGCCTTGAGGGTGTCCAGCAGGATGGATAGCACAGCCTGGCCAGCATCACAGAATCACAGAATGGCCAGGGTTGGAAGGGACCTCAAGGATCATGAATCTCCAACCCCCTTGCCACATGCAGGGCCATCAACCTCCCCATTTAATACTAGACCAGGCTGCCCAGGCCCCCATCCAATCTGGCCTTGAATACCTCCAGGGACATGTGAGGGTGGAAGCTAAATCCCGCTGACAAAAAAACATCAGCTCACAAACCCTCAGGAAACAAGGGGAACAAGAGCAAACCTGATGCTGGGTGCTAATCATGGATATGTTGGCCATAAAAACATAGTTCTTTTGTTTTGGAGAAGCTTAAAAATGCAACAATCTTGAAAAAGGAATTTACTGATTAATTTATTTTACTTATTTTGCTGAAGTTCTCAGGGGCTTTGCAGTGCTGTAGTAGTGAGGGCTTTGCTCACAGTACCAAAAGCAAATGTGGATGAAGTGCAACTGAAATGCAAACTGGAGACCTGCCTGGAGCTACTTCTGCTTTGCTATTGCATAGAACAGTCAGAACTCAGAGCCCACACTGGCTTGTGCTCAATATATATGTTCATCAGGTTAGAGTTTGCCTCTACCATACAAACACAATCTGCTGTTAAGACTTAACATTACATTGCCAACACCTCAAATGTTTCCAGCTGACCGCACACAGCTGCACTGACCCCCTCTGGAAGCAGCAGCCCCTTAGCCCAGATTTGCACAGGCACCACGTTCACGTTCATGGATTATTTACGACACTGACATCTAGCAAATACCCTTTGGGTGATGAGTATTTGCCATGCTGTGGGAAAATGCTTTGCTGAGGAGCAGTTATATTCCTGCTTATTATTAAACCATTCACAAGCCCCCATGCTAAACAAGCTTACCTCAGAGTTGAATAATACAGCTGTATGCTGATTGTATGCATGTATGTAATTACTGGGGTAATTTCATTAAGGCTCCGTCCACAAGGATTCACCCAGATCTGTTACAGAACTGACCACTGTCCCTACAAATGCACAGCTCCAGGGGGATTCTGGTGATGCTCTGATATAGTGACCAAGTTTCTAATAGTTATCTGATACAAAGCAACCATCTTCTAGTTACAATATGCATTCTTCTCTCAATATTAAAGCATGGTATGCTTTTGGGAGCTGTTGGAGAGGGTCCAGAGGAGAGCCACAAAGATGATGAGAGGTCTGGAGCACCTCCCCTGTGAAGACAGGCTGAGGGAGCTGAGCTTGTTCAGCCTGGAGAAAAAAAGGCTGCAGAGTGACCACATTGCAGCCTGCCAGTTCCTAAAGGGAGCCTACAAACAAGAGGGGAACCAACTCTTTGAAGGATAGACAATAGCAGAAGGGGAAATGGTTTCAAGTTGAAGGAGGGAAGATTTAGGTTGGATTTTCAGGGAGAAGTTCTTTACCAAGAGAGTGGTGAGATGCTGGAACAGGCTGCCCAGAGAGGCTGTGGATGCCCCATCCCTGGAGGTGTTGAAGGCCAGACTGGATGGGGCCCTGGGCAGCCTGGTCTAGTGTTAAATGTGGAGGTTGGTGGCCCTGCCTGTGACAGAGGGGATGGAGCCTGATGATCCTTGAGGTCCCTTCATATCTAAGCCATTCTATGATTTTATGAGAATGTGCATCTGAAATGGTATGAAAAGTTTTGGAGATTCAAGATTCTGCCTCAGCAGTGGATTGAACCAGCAGAAATTGAAATCTTATTTTATCATTTTAAAATCTCTATAGCTGATGAAGTGCCAACATTTCACTTTAAAAAATCATCAGTCCGCTTCCTGCTAAGATAAACATGTACTATGTGTGTGTGAGCATAATTAATACAATTAGTATTGCCCGTGCTAAGTGTATGGCAGCTGAGTGATGAGTCTAGCAGCAGTGCTGAGGGATAAGGTGAAATTGTATCAGTATTTTTTCCTGCCTGACTCAGTGACAGTGCGCAGTGGGGAATGGCAGATAATTGACGGTGCCTCTGTCCCTGGAGAAATAAAGCCCCATTGCTCTCATCTCTCCTTACAGCTAAAACAGCTGAGCCTGAGCTAATGAGAGGAGAAGTGACTGCTGAGCCCATCACTTCCACAGGGCTGCCCTCTTTCAGTCACCCTCTGAATGGACTTGCACCTCCCGTAATGCCAACATATATTATAAACAGTGCAGGTTTCAAGCTAAGAGATGGGAAATTCAGTCGGAAACATGTTTGCTAAATCAAGACTGACCTTTTTGTTGGCTTTCCCCCTCTAACTGACCTAGAGACCACCAATAAATACATGTTGGCGGTGCCTATGGTAGATCCCGCTCTCTCACAGCATCTGCAGTTATGGCTCTAGGTTCTGGGTTTGCTGTAGAGTGTTACGGAGCTGAAGCTGAGGGCTTGCGGCACAGCGGCTTTGGGGACGCTTTTGGATTAAATATAATCCTTGATTAAATGGGAATGTGGGGGTAGATTCAAGGGCCGATCTGATCCTTGATAATCCTTTGTTCCTATCTTATTTTTTTATGTGGCATGCGTCTCAAGGCCCCCACTGGATCTGGAAAGATGTAATCCCCATAGTGAAGTGTTTTGTCTGATGTACCCTGTGCAGATCTGCGGTCTGAAGACTGTGCATTAAGATTTATTGATGATTGCTTGCGGTAAGGTAAGATGAGAGGGTCCACTAAACTGCTCTGAGCAGATTGCAGCAGCAGCCAAAGGGCTCAGCTGTGCATGTGAGGAACCCCTCTTAAACAAAAACCTGGCAACTGGATACATCTAACAAATGAACTGGGAACTTACTGAATAATGAAAGAATATATTCATATCTCATTTGTGTCAAGGATTATGGTGTGCTTATCAGAGTAGCTTGTTAACTCCAAAAGGTAAAATGCTTTATTGCAATAAAATCTCATTTAGTAATGTACACCTCCAAAAGAGTAAGTACAACAAGGGAAGAAACTGACTA